CCCCCTAAGATGTCTTCGCGTACCCCCAGATATAATTTCTCTTCAACTTTGTACCCCGAAAGTTGTTGGTGTATAATTCAAGTTATACATAGTATATAATCTACATCTAAAATAAATTAAATAAGTTACATTACTGATTATTCATTGTTTATCGTAAAATAATATATTTTTTTTAAATTTCACGTACCCCCTAAGATGTCTTCGCGTACCCCCAGATATAATTTCTCTTCAACTTTGTACCCCGAAAGTTGTTGGTGTATAATTCAAGTTATACATAGTATATAATCTACATCTAAAATAAATTAAATAAGTTACATTACTGATTATTCATTGTTTATCGTAAAATAATATATTTTTTTTAAATTTCACGTACCCCCTAAGATGTCTTCGCGTACCCCCAGGGGTACTCTTACCCCAGGTTGAATACCACTGATTTAAACAAGACAATCAGTGATGATGTCAGGGTTTAAGATTCATGTAATTTTTGTGTAAGTAACTGGCAGTTATTTCTTCAAAAATGATCCTGTGGGATGTTATTAAATGATTCTCTGTCAGACGCGTTTGTTATATATAACGAGTCGAATTTCATGCTGATAATAATGATAGAGAACAAGGAATGTAGAAGGAACATAACTGTGATTTCTTAATGGGTTTTGTAGTCATCGCCCTGATAATGGAGGCTGCAAGGACCTTTGAAACTTCTATCAGACTTTACAACACTACAACCCAGAAGACAGCCATTTTCATTCTCGTTGCTGTGAGAATCTCAAATCCTATCTATATCGTTTTGCGTCTTAGGTTGTGTGTGCTGGTGCATGCTACCGTCTTCGGAGATCACCCTCCATCTCCAGTATCTCCAGCGTGTCTAGTACGTCAAGTGAAATATCTCAGGATCTGTCTTGCGGAAGTGCACCAATCCTCCCGCCTCAGAGTCCTGTTCACCACGGTCTGCGAGATGGGGCACTGTTCCCCGGGTATGAAGTGGCTGGGATAGTTGAGTCATTAGGAACAGAAGTTGAAGGAAATGAAGAATTCGGAGTTGGAGACCGAGTGGTGTTGTACCCATATGAAGGAGTTCCACATGGGTAAGGAATTTCTTGTAGTTTTTGTGATCAATACGCTTGAACTATGCTTCAAATTGCATTTAATCGTGTATGGTTTATGTTTTAGTGTATTAATTTGGTAACTAACCGTAGGGAAGAAGTCTCTGTAAAAATTGTCCAGATAACTTTACGTTCAATGTGTGAAACTATAACAATTAAAACATTATTAAATTTTGCTAATGAGAACTTATACAAAGTAACATTTATGTCAAATCGAGGGAAAAAATTGACATTGGAACAACGGTTTCGGAGAATCTGACGTAAATACGTAACCAAGTAAGGGATTCGTATTTATTTTTATTGTTCATCACGTTAAGCGCCCGCCTCATCATCCACTGTGATATTCTAAAACGTTTTTAACAGCACAATATTATCTACTCTACGACGCTAAGCTCTTTCCGCAATAACGAAAGCGGTTTGTTGACGGCAGTAATGAAACACAACAATGCCGAATAAAGATGACATAACAATTACTTTCTTAGGTAAAGGAGTAAAGCATTGTTATGCACGCAGGAGTTCATATAAAAGCTGGCCATTGTCGGTCCACATTTACACATTGTTGGTATAGATCTTAAACATTTTCCTAACGCTGTTTTGCCGAATGACCCTTCCGTATAGACGTATTTACGTCAAAAAATTGTTATTGCAGTTAAATCTTGATTAAATGGCAGGTGTAGATGATTTACCGGTTTATTGCACTGTGAAATCCTCTGCTGGACAGAACACTGGGATTCTAAAACTAATTTTTAATTGGTTTTACACAGTAATGAGACATTTTATACTTAATTCTTTTCTAGGATAGCTTTTAAAAATAAAGTATATTGTATAGAAAAAATGCCAGCATGTATTCATTCAGTCACTCACCTGTTTGAAAATGTTTCAATGACTACGTAGTACTTTTTTGGTTCGTTTTTCAGCTGTCAGTATTTTTAAAATATGGGGGCTCTGTTACGTGATAAACGTACAGATTAATTGTTATTAGAAATACGAAGTGATTAAGTTCAATATTATGTTGAAGTTCTCTGTTAACAAGTAAATGAGTGAACATAACCTCAAGAAGGAGAACAGTTTAAACTTCCGCTTATCAGACGGAAGTAGCGTATAGTTAAAATTAAAAATCCAGATAAACCAAGTGATGAATTCTCCTGGTGTTGTCTCAGTGACTGTCTTAACTCATGGTACTGACCTCCAGGTACGCAGAGTTCATCATCGTTCCAGAACTGCAGTACCTGGTGAAACTCCCTGACTCAGTATCGCTGAGTGTCGCTGCCATGTTGCCCACCGGTGCCCTTCTTGCCATGAACACGGTATTCAAGGCACATGAATACGTTGAAAACATCCTTCAAAAACGAGGAGATAATGGTTGGTTCATACGCTGAATATGAATTCAGTAGGTTATTTCATTATTTTACTTTTTTGTTGATCAAGTTATCGCACGTAATTAGTAAACATTTCTTTCGGTGTGTGTGTTATTTCGTCCTGCAACTTCAGTGATCTGATCATGTTTCGATTCTGTCACTGCCCATTATTGGTTTCATTAACCGCCACGGTGGTCTAGCGGCCAGAACGCTGGCCTTGCAATCCTGGGGTCCCGGGTTCAATTCCCGGTGGTACTCAGATTTATAACTTGTGTTGGGCAAGGCCGTGGTCTAGGCAACACGGAGTTTTCCTCTGGGGCTGCCCCGGTTTCTCTGTGGCGTCCCAACAATTACTCCACTTTCATCATCATCTCGCAAAAAGGGTGTCACAGTCCCCATCGAACCCATGTACTGATGGGTCGTGAATCCTGCTAACCACCAATGCTGAATGGTGCGTACTGAACACGAAAAAAAATGGTTTCATTGGTTATGAACCATAGGACTCTGTTATGGGGCCTCTTTTTTTGAGGTCTCTTTATTTTGTTTGTACATACCTGAAATTATTTTGTCGTGTTCTCAGACGAGCCTCACATTTTTATGTTTTGCGCTGCCCTCTTAGATATTAAAAGAGGTAACCCTTGCTCGCATCCCTGTATTATGAGGGTTTAAAAACCCCTATTTTCATATTATAAAGATTAATCAGGAAGAAGAATGAAAATTTGGTTTCTGTATTTCTAAATACATTCGTATGAGGCTCAGAATAATTAGACAATCGTGCCTTTAATTTTATTACTTATTTGTTATATATTGTTTCTCACAGGTTTGTGTAAGATCCTAATTGTTGGTACCGGTGGTTTGGCCCTATGGGCCATGCGCATTGCCGGTCATCATTATCAGACCATGAAGGAGAAGGTGTCCATCACTGTCGCTTCGCTCAAAGACGAAGGCTTCCTCTTAGCCAAGGAATATAAAAAGTAAGCTTCCACGTAAAGTTTTCATTCATCTGTTTTCCTTGGTTTGTTTGTGCGCGTCAGTAAAATGGCTTAAATCGCTAAATTGTACAGCGCGTAATGAAGTGATGCTTTAGTACATATTGACTTTATCTTTAAGGGTGAATGTGGTCCAGTGGAATGAAGACTTGTATGAAAAACAGCTGATTGAGCGCACTAAGGACGCTTGTCAGGGAGCAGTTGATATCGTCATCGACTTTGGAACCACGTCACGAAGTCTGCATCGATCTCTCCAGTGTCTGAGTAAGGTGCGTATGTAATACATTGAAAAATTGATATCCATGAATTTTAAAAAGATTATGGCTGTAATTTGAACTGAAAAAAATTTTATTTCTAGGGTGGTGTTGTATTTATCAGCTCTGAGGTTGCTGAGAAATTGCTGCCGAAATTCAGTCGTAAAGCAGAAGAACTCCAACAGTGTATAAGGCCTGTGGACATGGGCTCTATTGATCAGTTGCGACAATTGGTTGAACTAGTCGGAAACAAAGAGGTACAGTAAATATCCACAAAAATGAAAGATGAAAGGGGGAGCAAGACACTTTATGCATTATGTTTCCCTTCCATTCCCATACCTCAATCTTGGAGATATCTTGTGACAAGTAAAGTAAAGTTTGTCCCACTATACGCCATGTAGGCGTTTGGGGGAGTGGAGTTATAGCTCCTCTCTTCCTTGACCTCGGCACTAGATGGGGGTGAGTGGTCGGCATCACGCACCGGCCGGCTTTACCCCCAGGAAAGGACCCCGGTACCCATTGTAGAGGAGACTGGGTGGGCCCCAGAGCCGGTCTGGACGCAGAGGCTAAAGGAAAAATCCTCTGCCCCCGTCAGGGATCGAACCCCGGTCACCCAGCTCACTCTTGTGACAAGTGTAAATGTAATTTTAGGCAAACATTTTGACATCTTGAATGTTCTTTATTGCAATCTTTTTATTTATTTATTTTTTCAGATTGAACCCCCACCACATTCTGTGTTTCCAGCAGACGAAGCTTCGGAAGTCATGAGGAAACTCTGTCAGTCGGAAATAAAAGGCAGAGCAATCCTCGAATTCCCCTCACCTCCATCTTCCAGATTTTAATGTCTACGACATGTTGATTCGTGGAAACTTGTCAGTCCAGGGAATGTCTTGTTTAGGTGTGAACGGTCGGGCTGTTTCACTGCGTACTTCGCCAAGGAAGACCAATTATTGTCGTATAATAAATTGGCTTGGCATTTTGACCTAGTATTCAGATATTAGAATAATATATACTTAGGAGCGACCCTGTCCTGTTTTAGAAGTCATAAGGTGTTGTGTAAGTGTTCTGAAGCTTTGAGCTCGGCATTTGTGATGTCTGGTCGCAAAAATGCAACACCCATCATCGAAGGTTTGTTTCGTCATCTTGTATGGACGTATCTGTAAACAAGAAATGTTTTGTACAGACCTTGTAGGTACTTTTATATAACCTCTCATAAAATTAGATTCATTTTTCCTGACCTTAGTGGTTCATCATTGTGAGCATTTTTCCTTAATTTTCGTGTGAGCATTTGTCTCGTCACCGAGCATTTGATTATCAAAGCTTGCACCGCTAACTCGTGATTATAGAACCCAAATGATTTAGCTTAAGATTAACTGTCAGGTTGTGACTGAACTTCACTTTGTTCAGTAATAACAATGAGGACGAGTAAAATAAGTGCCATTACATCACATTTCTGTGCGCTGTTCTCATGGATGTGCCGCAGTTTAACTTCCTGTTATGCTTTCAGTGTAGTAGAACATCTTTTATTTCTACATTGAATGTTGCTAAAGTTTATTGCACATCGATTATGGAACTGATGCTGATAGAAATTTATGAAGCGCAACATAGGGGTGAGAGGTTAGAGGTGCATGCATTAGAGTGTCATCATCCGAGTTGTAGCATCGTGTAATTTTCTTGTTGCGAACTGGTATTTCAGACGAACTTGCTGTCACCATCTTCACAGTTGAATTTTGAAAGTTTAGAATATCGATGGGTTATATAGGATCAGGGCAGGGGACCGAAACTCATGCCACCATCAACACCTCAAATCCTATGTAAAAGTTCAGCGTTAACCACAACAAATGCTGCCATGGTGATTTCTAGATCCACAGTATAATTCTAGATCACTACAGAGCATTGTTTGCAGGGCAACTGACAAGCTTTGCATAATGCAGTAACTGGCAGCCATTTAAATGGTGTCCTATCCTGTGGAAGATTTACATCCTATATACGTGGACCATACGAAGTACATACGAATAGAGGTTGGTGTCATGTGACAAGACATATGTACCATGTGTGGAGGCCAGCACTGAGATTTTAGTGTGATGGTGGATGCTGAGATAAGTGAGAAATTGTATCTTCTCATATATTTATGTATTAATATGTTATCCAACTCCCACATAGGATATACATTTTGCTGCTTACCATGCATTGCATTTTCTGTATGTTACTGATGCATGCAATAAAAATTAAGAATGTGAAAACTACCCAGAATTTTTAGTTTTGTGTTGTATTATTTAGGTTGGGAGAAAAGCTTGAAAATTTTAATATTTCATACTTTTATTGATATGAAAGTCATATAAAGTTTGAAATGCATCTATATTAAGACCTCTCTGTACTATTTACTAACATTGTTCTTAACCAGTATACTTCTAATAGTATTTTTAATATATTAGCATATAAAAGAGTTACTGCTGTATGTGGAACAGGGAAGAATCTAAGAATTAAAAATTGCTATTACAAGAGATTAAGTTATTGTGATTTTTGTAAAATGTTAGTCTTTTTTAACATTTTCATAACCATTTGTGGTATAGGTAAACAGTTTTTGTATTGACTCAATTTAAAAATATAGAATTTCAGTTTCATAAGTAATAATATATCATATAAAGTGTCTCCAACAACTTTGCTTCATTGGTACAGCAAAAGAGTAGGTGGTCCACTCTAGCATGCTTCCAACATGTTACATTTTACTAGGCAATTCACCTATTTTTTTCTGTGCTGTACTTTAAATACAAATGGTGCTTGCAGAAGAGCAGTATTTCCTTCACACTTTTAGTAATACAAACATCTTTTCCCGATTCGATCTGGTATGGTACATTATCCAGTGCTAATATCTATTTTGTGAGAAAAGTAATATTTTGATGTTTGTATTACAGACTTCATGTATGTTTTGTATGCATATTATTTTTATGTAGGCTATAATGATCATGTTCAGTCATAAATATGACATAACACTTGTATTAATGTGATAGAGGAGGTTTTGGCAAATATAACCTCTTCAATAACAAAGCAACATTTATTTACAGCAATAAAATTGTTTGAAGCATAAAATTTGGATAGTCATTAGTAGTATTATCACTGATGTTTCTCTTGAGGGATAACTTATTAAAACGACATACACTGTTAAAAATTGTATGTTATTGAATTTGTATTATGATGTAAATAGATTAAAAATAAATAAAATATATACAAAGCAAAAAAAATTGTAATGAACTTATTATTTTAAGGTGTATTTCTCTTCCTATCTCTATTATCTTCTCACGTTGGTAATAAAGAAGATGTAAATGCTAGTATAGAAGCCTGAGCAGATTTAGTTTCATTGTTAAGCTTCCAAATGTAGGTCAGTTCTGTATATTCACCCTTTTGCCTAGCAAATGCTTAAAGTAATTGTGAATCTTACTTGAATCGAAATTTACATATTTTTAAATTATCCTCCACTGTCAGCAGATGTATCATCAGTGCAGAATTATTTTTCAGCATAGCTAAGTCAAAAAGTGTATTTATGAAATTCTTAGGTTATGATTACAATGTCTTTTGATTTTACACTGAAGAAGTTGTTTACTGTACTTTCCTTAATTCATGTCTGTGAATAGTCCAATTCTGGGCACCACAATGTGAAGACATGAGCAGTGGAGATCAAAGATCTACATTTTTCACTTTGGCATTAGATGAATGTTGTCATGGTTCACGTTTTCATATCGTGAACAGGTTGGATCCTCGTTACCGACTCAGCTACCATTGCCGCTACCACAATTCTCAATTCATTATTTCGCACTCATTCATAGGTGGCTTGAGTAACAATCTGCAAACGAATAGTCACAGTAGTTTCAGTAACTTTGCATATTCGTGCATACAATAGGTACATTTCTTTGTTGAAGACAGTTAGTATTACCTATGGTAGGGATTTTCTTGAGGTGAAATTGCTAGGTCTGTCGTGACAAGACATTGTGGAAGGTATCTGTTGTGGAGAAATATTGGCCTATAAAGATTTATAGGCGTTTAATTCAAGAAACATGCCTCTTGAGAACCTAGAGGATGAAGGTCTTGAGAAGAATCCAAATCTGAAATTGGCATTATGGAAGTTTCTGTTAAGTTTACCTGACCACAGTGGAGACAAGAAGCTTCAGTCTAAACTTCTGGAAGCAATCGTCGGAGAAAGTAAGTCATTCATTATAAAAGACAAAGTGTGTGTATATGTATAATGTACGTACACACATCCGGATCGTAGAATACACTAGTGAGATGTTAGAATGTAGAGTGATTCATCTTGTTCTCGTACTGTTAAGCTTGCCACATATTGGACCCAGCCTAGACTAGCCCAGCACAGCACATCACATGATTTTAAACAGGGTATTGCATTTTGTACACAGTGTAGGAACAAGACATAGGTTAGGCTGTGTCAAGTTGCAACAGGACCACACTTTCCTGTGCAATTTGGGCAAGAATTTTGAAAAGCTGTGGAACCTGTCATTAGGTTGTTATGCATTGCATTCCTTTTCCTTGATGTCTGATACTGTTAGCTGGTGTGCCTCATCAAACTGACCTGTGTTGAAAAATGTCTACCTTCTGTGATATTATGCCATGTAGTCTGGTAGAAGAATACTTCTGCCAGTAAACATCTACCAGACTACATGTAAGCATAATATCATGTATATTTTATGATTCAGATTTTTTTTTAGTAAATTTAGCAGTAGTCTGTACCTTGACTAAAACCTGTACTTGGACTGTGTTCGGTATGTGGACCATAGACGAAGGGAACTGGACATGTTTCTCTGCTAGCCTGGACTGGTCTAGGCCAGTTTTGGTCTGTATTGTGGTTGGTTTAATATTCCAGATATATTTCACTTGTTTGTATACTTGTATGTATGAGCAAAATAGCAAACCCTTTACTTTTATTTATAAGATATGGCACCATTTTATGAAGAAGTTTGTCGGGACTCGGACTGGAAAGTTGACCAAACCCTACTTGCCAAAATGAAAAGTGCTAATGAAGAAAAATTGAAAGAACTGGAGGAAACAATTGAAGATGCTGAGAAGAATCTGAGTGAAATGGAAGTTAGAGAAGCAAATTTAAAGAAGTCTGAATATCTGTGTCGGATTGGAGATAAGGTATTGTTTTATATTTTGAATTCTCGTACACTTTCTCTGTACAGTCTTCTAGATTGTGGCTTACAAACTGTGATACATACTTTGCCATTTATTAGTATGAGGAGTATTAAAGAAATCTGTACTACCTTGCTGACTAAACTGTTTCAGTGCTAGATTGTCATTAAATACCCCATCAGATGAACAATAGGAGCTTTCTGTTACTAAATACCACATAAGCAACACTAGTAAACATTCTGTTTCAGAGGTGCTGTGCCTGGGCATTATTTTTACTCAATCTTTGGTGAAGAAAATTTGCAGTGAAATGGACTGTGATTTTATAATGGAGTTATATTTTATTCTTTAAAATTACAGTGTTCTGTTTCAGGAAGGAGCACTGTCTGCTTTCAGAAAGACATATGATAAAACAGTCTCACTGGGTCACAGGTTGGATATTGTCTTTCATCTTATTCGTATTGGTCTTTTCTATTTAGATCATGACCTAATAACAAGAAATATTGAAAAAGCAAAGAGGTAAGGATTAAGAATGTGGCTTATATTTAGTTGTAATTTCTTAGGATAATTTTTTTAATAGAATCTGCTTTCACAAATATGAATTAGAACACTGTCAGCATTCATATCTTTTTAGTTTTTTAGCACCTTGAAACACATGATAAAGCTTATTTAGACTAAGAATGTAGGTTGATACACATTTTTGGTGGCACTTATAATCGTGGACAATGAAATTGATGAGACATTGTGTAATCCTCTGTGAATCGTTTGCATTGCTCAATAGAATTTGCCACTTAATTCTGTAGTATCTGAATGTTGTAATACACGTTATTTGAATGTTTGGTATGTAGTAATAATTTTCCATGGATGTGTGTTCAATCTGGAATTTAAATAGTCTAGAGCATACAGTTTTTTGTTTAACATTCCATTGTGAATTTACCATCACCAGTTTATACTTTTTGTAAATGTTGCAGTCTTATAGAGGAAGGTGGTGATTGGGACCGTAGGAATAGATTGAAGGTCTACCAAGGAACTTACTGCATTGTTGTTCGTGACTTCAAAGCAGCTGCAAATTTCTTTCTTGATACTATTTCCACATTCACATCATATGAACTGATGGACTATGAGACTTTTGTTCGGTACACAGTGTACATCAGCATGATATCTTTACCTCGAAATGAGCTTCGGGACAAGGTAACATGGATTATTATTTTTTGTTGTAACAAAATAACGTAGTATACATTAGTAATCGGAAGAAATGTTATAATATTTCCGTATTAACTTGCATATTGATCACATCCAGTTTTACTATGCAGATGCAATTTTTTTTATGTGTAAAAGGGAATTTTTGATAGTGTTCATAAAGTTACAAATTAATGTATTTTCTTCAAATTATGCTGATTTGACTGCTATCTTATTATGTGATTTATGTACTTCTGTCATTTTTGTTTTAAAATTGTGTCCCTTTTGCTTTTTACTTTAATTTAAGTGGCAGGTATGTATTACCTGTTGTAACACTAAGAAAGTGTGTGATATATCAAAATAGTCACTATTTCTGATAAACTAAGGCAGTACTTAAAAGCGTATTTCAAATACTGAAGGCATAAAATTTATTTTAATTAAACATTGGAATGGGAATAATACTACTTAATTCCAGATGATTTAAGAAAACATGAATAAAGTTATATATAAGAAATAACTCATGTCAAATGCATTTGACCGTAATAGAGGCTCTAAACATATCAAAACCTAGGTCAGCCCTCTCCCATATTGACTCATGGACAGTTCATGGAAATTTCATGGCAGTTCGTTAAAAAAGCTAGGCAAACAGGTTTACATATTACTCAATTATTTTATTTAACAGATTTGTTGATTTGTCAATCATATTAACTGTTCACTTAAAATTACATATAATTTTGTGGTAACAGTTCTTTTTTCATAATGCAAGTGATACAGTATTACAAAAATGTATGTGTGCGGCACATGAGCAAGCTGCAGACTTTTAACCCCTGGAAAATTATTTCGTTCTGAGCTGCATTTATCCTATTTAGAATATGTGACATTGTCTGGGATGAGATATAAACTATATGAGACCAATATTGGTATTTTTATGTCCTGTTATTTGCAGTGGGACATTCCCCTTGTGTGACTTTAATTTTCTATTTTGTGCATGTGTAATTAATTACATTTGCCATGTCTTGCTTCGTTTGTGCATGTTTTAGTTTACAATTGCTCCATAATCTATGAAGAAATGTCTGTATTATTTTTTATTTCAGATAATAAAAGGATCTGAAATTTTGGAAGTTCTTCACACAAATCAAGATGTAAAAAATTATTTGTTCTCCCTGTATAACTGCCAGTATGCCGACTTCTTTAAGTATCTAGGTATGAATATTAATTTTGAATAAACATGAAAAACAAATTCTTAATGCTGGAGTATGCAACTTTTTATAATCAAATAATTTCATAATAATTCCAGTTGCAAACAATTATCTAGTTAGTAGGATTTGAGATTTTCAGGGCCCTGATGATGGATGCAGAAAGGACCTAAGATGCTGATAAATGTCTACTGGACTACATGGTGCTACAACGCAGAAGACTGCCATCTTCTAATTAGTTGTTTCATCAGGACTAATTTTCTTCTCTTCTCTTGCTTTTGTTTCAAGCCAATTCTGTGTGTATGTTTCAAAAGCTAATTTTAAATGAGAACACTTCAGAGGGCCTAATCAGTAAATGCAGAGGAGTAATAAGTGATCCTTTTGATTTCATCCTGTTTTAGCATATGTAGAAGGACTATTGAGGCGTGATTATTTCATCTACCCCCATTATCGGTACTATGTACGTGAAATGAGAATCATGGCTTACACACAACTTCTTGAATCTTATCGGAGCCTTACTCTGGAATACATGGCTGATGCATTTGGTGTTACTCCTGAGTACATTGACCAGTAAGTCATTTGATATAAGACTTTGACAAAAATCGGTATTTTTAAAAATGGTACGCATGACTTGCTATGAAGTTATCCATAAAACAGTGAGGTGTAACTTATTAAATGTTGAAGATTTCTGTCTTCTGGGTTGTTGCGCTGTGTAGTATGGTTAACATCTACCATACTACACAGCGCAACAACCCAGAAGACAGAAATCTTCAACATTTAATAAGTTACACCTCACTGTTTTATGGATAACTTCATAGCAAGTCATGCGTACCATTTTTAAAAATACCGATTTTTGTCAAAGTCTTATATCAAATGACTTACTGGTCAATGTACTCAGGAGTAACACCAAATGCATCAGCCATGTATTCCAGAGTAAGAAATGTTACAGTAACATAGATTTTGGTTTTAAGAAATATTCCTATAGAAACAGAAGGTATGAGAAAGTCTTAATTTTTTATGTACCTGTGTAATACAATATATTTAATATTGTGAATGTGTGTTGAAATTTTCTGTTTTTAACATGATGGAATTCTGGAATTTACTAACGCAATCTAATGATGAAGAAATATTGCTAAATTGACAGTTACTTCTACAAAGAAGTTGTTTGTTAGGGGAAGTGTAAGATTAAAAGAAAGTGCCTTGTATGTACTTACCATTGTTTTGGAGGAACATATTGTGTCCATCTTCTACCCTGAAGGTAGAGGTGGTATTCCTTTGAAATTCTTGTAACCACATGCAAGACTACATGTTACAACCCAGTTTTCCACAGTCCACATTTTTACTGATGTGAAAACATCAAATCTGGCATGTTACAAGGCACTTTTTCTTGGAGTATTAATAATTGCATGTTAATTATAATTTATAGATTTGCTAGTATGTTATTCTAGATCATATAGATTTTCTGTTTCCTGATGTAAATAAGGATAACATTTTTCTCGTAGAATAAACAGGAACTATAGTAGTTGAATTGATTTCACTGATGGCTATTTTCTGTTTAGGGAACTATCACGTTACATAGCGGCAGGCCGATTACACTGTAAGGTGGACAAAGTTGGAGGTATTGTTGAAACAAATCGACCAGATTCAAAGAACTGGCAGTATCAAGCTACAATCAAGCAAGGAGACATTCTTCTGAATCGTGTACAGAAGCTTTCCAGAGTAATCAACATTTAGAGACAAGTGTGTGGCAAAGAAGTTTGATTACGATTATATAATACTAACCTTCTAAGGACATATTAATAAAGTTTTGCCTGAATTCTTGTTATTTTGATATTTCTAAATTGAACTATTGCATTTATTTTAAATGCCTAACTCCTTATTACCTGACACTGCTTAAAATTAAAATACCGATATTTATTATGACCATTAATTTTTTCATAGTGGAATGTATTTTACTTTCATTTGAAGAAATTATAAGACTACAGTACTATAAAACTTCATTTCTATACCCTCAGGGAAATCAATAAAAATTACAATAATTTAGTTTGTTACTCTCCATTATTCATTTTCTTCAGGTGTTAGATGAGTTTTAATGCATTGCATTGTCAGGTGAAATGCATATTGAAGAGAGGAAAAATGGTATGCAGTTTCTATAGTTGACTTATATTATCCTTGGGAATTTCCAAATTGTCATTTATTTGCAGGTTTCTTAATATACAATCAGATCTGGCTTTTATAACTTGGGATTTTCAATCATGTACCAGTAATGTCTCCATGAAGTTGGCTTTTTAATGGCAGTACTTCAAGTATAAAGTGTCACCTTTCCATTTTACTCTGAAGTATCCATTCTTCAAAGTGCAGATAATGTACTTGATACTCTATGACCATGAACATTCTTCCTCCACTGGACCTGAATTCTTCAAAGTAATTTGTTGTAATACATTGCACACCATAAATTTGATTAATGAACTTTGATCTTATACATAATCTCTGAATTGTACCTATACTTAATTACTTTAGATTCTACCTCAATTTCTTCAATTTTTTTATATCAGTATCATGAAGCTACCCTGAAGAGAAAAAAAAAGTTCATAAAGTCTATTTATTTTTCTTAAAAGATGTCTTTAAAACAAGGCCCCTGCTTTAAATCTATAGTTGATTTTATGGTGATAAGAATTGATGGTATCAACTTGACTTTGTATAATTATTCTAATGTTTAACAAGGATGAAAATGTTTATTCAACATACAGTCATTCCATTTCATTTATCAAACTATTGCAATCGTCACACCTTGGAAATAACAATAATGTGAACAAAGCTTATAAATTTAACAGTCACATTTTTCAAATTTAATTTCTTTGTCCTTTTATGAAGTAGAGGGTGGTCAGTTTTTTATCTCCTTCAGATAAGAACCATTTGCGCATGCATTTGCAAATACTTATATGAAAGAAACAAAGTCAGTAAAATATTAATTTAAAAGATTTACAGTTCCATATTCCATAAAAGAAACTAAACAGTGCCCATTCAGAATAACTTTGTATTACATTGACACAGTTTCAGTTGTTTTTGTTTCTCGCGTCTTTCATTTGGAGATATTTCTTGATGTCTAGTAATATAAACATGTCCTGTTGAGTTGCATATGTAACATCACATTTTAATTCTCAAAATTCCATCCATCACAAACCATAGATTGTGTGTAATTTAGATTCTTACTAATGAAGTGTTGGGATCAGTCAATGAGAGATCTAACTAAAAACAAAGAGTGGGCATTGGTAATAGACATTAGTAATTTTACTTGCAGTCGTATTACTGAAAACTTACATTTTAGTTTTTACGTTTCCCACTTTCACATTTCTCCCTCGTTTAAGAATGGTAATATAATAGTTTTTGAAAATGACGGGTATAGTTTCTTCACTCAAGAAGTTCAGGCTTGGTTTTGAACTTGCAAAGGGATTTTTTGCAGGTGACATAATTATCTCAAGTGAATCAACTATACTTTGTATTCGTTGAAGATCAAGTGGCATCTCTTTCTCTGTATATTCAGTAACAATTACGGGAATGTCTGGTTCTTTCAACATTGCCTCGATGGTTGGAGACCAAGTATCTTTCCCCTCAAAATCTGATAATCTGTGAAGTCCAGCATTGAAAGCAGAAATAAGATCAGGTTTCTTATAATTTTTAGACTTTAAAAAATCATGGTACAGTCCTTTCCAGAAATCATAAACCACCTTTCTACCAGCTATGTGACATTTTCTGCACATCTTACTTTTATCTACTATCTGAAAGAATGCATTGTCTGAATTTAGTTCTGGTCCGACAAAAACTATTTTTAGAATTCTGAGACTAGGTATTAAATGGAGCAGTAGTAATTCCCACTTTCTTAGATTATCAATTTCAAAATGCATTTCTGCGCCTACTAAATGGATGGTAAGAAACTTAATTTCTTCAAGAGAGAAATTGGCATTTTGGAGAGAAAATAGGACAGTCAGGGGGCATGTTCCTGTATCAGTGAGGGCAACCAAGTCCAACTTATTCATTAATAATGATTTGTTTGAAACACCGGCTGTGCTTAACATGAATGTTCTTATGTCACCAGTCAGAGGAGCATAATGCTGCAACACCCTTTTTGGTATTGATGGTTGTATCATTCCATGATGAAACTGGCATAAAATAAAATCACGATAAACTTGAAACTCTTTGCACCAGATGTCATGATCACTCTTTAAGTGACTAGGTTTACAGTAACTTACATGATGGCACTTATGACAAGAAGTTAGCTTTTGAATATCAAACTCATAGCAAGTGTGGCATACTTGAGGAAAATATATCATCTCTTTCTCCCAAGAATCTAAATTCCGTCCTAGTTCCTGTGCACATTTATTAACATAATAAATTCTGTAGTAACGGTATTCATCTGGCAAAATTCCCACAGCCTTTTGAAATAAATTTGTCATTCTCTCATGTTTACATATGTCTGAAATAACCTTGCACAAATCTCTGTGCTGAGGCCAGTGCAGTCTCTGGTGCTCTTTCGAACAGTAAGATATCATTTTACAGTTTCTGCATCTCTTCAAACCGTAGCTCTGTCCTAATATTTTGCACACATGACACACATAAGGTAAAAACACTTCTCTCTGAACTAATTTGTATTCCATTTCTTCTTCCTCATCTGCAGTTGTAATGAAGTTGGTAGATTCTGGTGCTAGCAGGGAGTCTTTGACATCAGGGATGAAAGTCATTTCAGATGTTTCTCTTCTGGCCAAATGTATCAGGTGCTGTTTGCTTAATGCGGTGGACACATTTTTATTATCATGTGTTGAATTGTTTGATGTATTTACATTTGGCCTTAGAAGAATGTCTTCAGATTTGGAGTTTTCAGTTTTATCCTCGTGCAGTATTCTAGAATCCGTCTTAGATTCTAGTTTTTCCTCTTTGTGGCCACAAAATTCAGAGTCTTCATACTCCTGTCCCTTTAAGTCTCTCTCATTTTGTTGTTGTGCTGTCTTATTTCTTCTGTTACCCCTGTGTTTCTTCATTTTCTGCTGTTTTTGGTCATTTATTCCTGCTTTATTATTTTCATTTGCCGGTAAGTCAGTATTGCTATTTTGTATATTTTCATTCTGAGGACCTACATGTTCATTGTTTGTCAAATCCTGTGTGATATATTCTGTAGAACACATTTGCTTCAGTTTTTCACTTGATTGTGGGTTCATGTCAATTTGGATTTGTTTATTTTTTACTTGTCTTCTTTTCCCTTTACATACTTTATTGTAACTTTCTTCAGAATCAAGTATTGTAGTGTTATTTTTCTCTTCTGCATTTATATTTCTTAATTCCTCATCTGCATCATTATTTACACTATTTGAATTCTTTTGTGATTTCTGTGCATCCACTGTTTTATTTTCATGTGTAATTGCCTTACATTCTTCTTTATTTTTGGACAAGCAGTTACTTTCATGAACGATACTTGTATATTCTCCTTTATTCTCCTGTGGCTCCTCATTTGAATTCAGTGTTTTATCACTGGATTTTGACTTCGTTTTACTCCTCGACTTTTTAGTGACTTTTGTTAAGTTGTTTCTAAGGACATCATCTTTCTCAGTTTCCAGTTTCATATCAGAATTTTGATCACCATTCTTCTCAGCACTCATCTCTTTGGAAGATGCAGCCAGCTTGGATATTCCAGTTGGAGTCTCTTTTGAAATGTTTAATGAAGTATTGTCAGTTTCATACATATCTTGTGTTTTGTGAGTTGAATCATGCTTTCTTCCGATTATTTTATTAACTTCTGGTATATCTTGTGTACTATGCAATTTAATGCTGGCAGGACGTTCCTTCTGGGTTTCTGTTTGTTTCATTGATGCATCTGGACCTTTAAATGGTCCCCGCATGCTGTTCAGTGGTTTGGATGAAGCAGATGGACTTATTTTTGAAACTGGTGCATCTAGTAAAGTGTGTTGTTTGGCTTTCTTGCCTTTCTTAGCCTGAACACAGACCTGCACCTTTACAGCGGTATTTTTCTCTTTCAAAACAAACAACGCTTCCTTTTCTGTCATATTTGTTGTAACAGGGACTTTATCTGCCTCAGCATTGGTAACTGATGTAAGTACTGGATCTTTACCTGATTCTGCAACTTTAGCTCTTTTACTATTAACACTTGGTTTTTGTGCTGTATTAGTGCTGACATCAACCTCTGCTCTATTTGTGCTACTCTGAACTGGAGATTCTTTACTTGACTCTGCAGAACCAACTGCGTGAAAGCGGCTACTTGAATTATGCGTTGGGCATTCTGAACAGATACACGTTGCTTGCAATGTATCAGTGCTGACATTGGAGTCACCTGTGTTTTCATTGCCTTGCGTTGCCTTCATTGCTGAAAGCACTTCAACGTCCTTACCTAGTTCTCCACCTGTAGCTACTTCACTAACAGAACCATTTGACTCTTTTGAAATCCCCTGAAAAGTAGGTGATGACTGTACTGTGTTGGAACTGTTGTCATCCTTTTCTGTGCTTGCAGTCAAGTCAATATTTATTCCCACGCTGTGATGTACATCTGAACTGATCTGTACTTCAACAGTGTAATTTATGGGAGAAATAGTGTCACGATTTTTATCAGCATTTGTTAAGCCAGTAACTTGTGAACTGGACTGTTTCTCTGTCGCTGTAGGTGGATCACCGTTGTTATCACCATTATTAAGTGTAGTGCTTGAATCCAGATTTGTTTGTGTTGGATATTCCGTAAAAGCCACTATTTCTTTTTCCTGATCTATACAGTGGGGTGATGCTTTTACATTTGGCTCAGATTCTGCAGATGTATTTAACGTGCCGGTGATTTCCGTCTCGGTTGTAACTGACGACAAAGATTTTTCTCGAGGCAATATTATATTTGCTCCTGTACTGGCAGAGATTTTGTCTCCATTCATATGTTGTTCATCTGAATCATGCTGAATAGGGCACTGATCTGTAACAGACGATGGTTTGTATTTTTCATTCCTCTGTAACAAATCATGCATTTCTGTTGAATCCATATGCAGAGGATTATTCTGTGTCTGTGACCTTGTTATTGTCGTTAAATTTGACAGTGTCACTTCACTCGCACACTGAGAGTTGATTGATGTTTCATCCCCAGTATTTTGGCTTGTGATCGTACTGGGTTCCACAATTACTTTATCAGAGCATTTTTTGGCCGGTGATGTCACAACTTGCAGGTTTACAACATTATCTTGTATATATGATGTTGATTCTTGAATTTTTGTAGAAGTCTTCTTTTGCTTATCCATTGCCTATAACAATATAATTATCAATTTATTACATGTATTGTTTTATACGAGCCACAAAAAACATTATAAAATATATTATAATAATACAAAACCAAGAATTTTGATTACGTATTACTGAAGTGTATTGTAAGATATGCAAAATTATTTTCAGTAACGAGAAATGATACTGAGCCATTCCAATCGACTTCAGATCAACTTATTTTCCTAACATTCATTTTAATATTATCTTACCAGTTATTTAATGGGTTTTGTATCAGTTTTCAGAGTTTGTTATGTAACATTATCAGTTTCCGTGCCTACTTATTCCCTAATTTCTAACTGTTGATTGTTTCCTATAGCTTAATCAGTTGTTTTGAAAGTTGATGGAAGATAGCAGTTTTTAGGCCACTCCTGAATTTATTATTATCTGAATATTATTATAAGCTTCATCTTGTGTCGTACATAATTCAAACAACGAAGTCCTCCACATTTCCTGTTCTTTAAATAGTTGTTTCAGCTTTCCGTTTTCTCAAACTTCCCACTGCAAAATTAACACGTGCTTCAAATTTTGAACTTGTTTTACTGTAATTAGTGTAGAAGATGACAAAGTTAAGAGGTATCAGTAAGCGGCTAATTGTATTGCCAGATACTGCTGGCAGCTGGATGATGACAAACTGTTTTTTTTTTTTTTTTAAATCTTTCTGTCTCGTAATTGTGTTTGGCATAGTACACTGTTTTGCAAATTATGTCAGTTCAGAGAAGTGTAATGCCTTAATGATATACTCCATATTCCCATGACAGAAATAAAGATATTGGATTTGTATATTGTATGGAAGAAAATATTGATAGACAATGTATTCCAACATTTCATTGACAGTCTGGTTATCACAAAGAAAACCTTTATTCTGGACAGCCGATTCTAGAGAGATTTAAGGTTCTCACGGTGGCGGTGGTGATGACGATGATGATGATGTCTGCTGGGTCATATGTCTGGTGGACCAGTAGGTAGTTAGCAAAGTTCTTTTGTCTTGGGATTTTGGAGACTTCTTGGGTGACTTATACTAAGATGGACCTTATTGAAATAGAATTGGGAGGATGTCGATCAGATTACTCTGGCTTAGGATAGGGACTGGTATCAGGGTCTTGTTAATATGTTAAAGATTCTTCAGGTTCCATAAAAGGTGGGGAATTCGACTGAATTTATATCAATTTCTGAACAGGGACTCTGCATAGTTATTTAGTAAATTTGTTACTGAGAAAACGGCTTATTTAATGTCAGGTAACAGACTGATAATTCAGTTGATGCGTATTTCCATTGCCAGTGACAGGCATTTGGTTGCTTGAACGTATGATCACAGGAACTGCAAGATTTCCAACACAAGTCCGTTCGCCCGACTCCCGCCCCTTAGTTAAAGTGAGCCCGGATTTGAGAGAAGGACCAATCATTGGCGGCAGCAAGTCTATAAAAAGGTGCACCGTACATCTTGGCAACATTCGATGTCTGGTGGTTGGATTAATTCTATTGTAGTCATGCATAGGGTAAACACGAAAATAGAATCCTAGTCCTTTATGTAAGGTACAAGACCGACATAGTTTGCTTCACATTGCTATGTTCCTCCAAATTAAATTGTCTTTATCTACGGAACGTTGGGTTCATATTATTCAGTGTAGAAATTAAACTTCTGGTAATCTCGAAACCCAAAAAACCGCGAGGACTGCCCTGTTAGATAAGTTATCCTTATTCTTAAGCACCCAGCCAACTAAATAGTTTGAGGCTTTCGCTCGCAGCGTGCTTAACAACTCTGACAACCCCTGGCTGGCTGGAGCTGGCTAACGATGTACTTTATCTCATTTGTTTTGTTGTGCCAACGTGGTAAACATGAACGCTTCGCACTTGTTAACGATTCAGCAGAATAATTATTTGAATGCACCTCGTCTGGCGTTACGTAACTTCATAAGAAGACACGGCGTCGAAGACGAGGAATAACCAAATAACGTAGCTACTTACAGCGATGGGACATCCCGTAATGTCATAAGTCATCACTGTTGATGTTTTGACAGCCACATGTAGTAATTCCTTCGACCATAATAATGAAATTAAGCTATTTCCAGATTATAAAGCTTGCGTCTTGTAAACTAATTTCTCCTCAATAGCAGGACTGTCGATCGAACATGGCAGTTGAATAGTCAGCTCTGTTATTTCGTGTTTGGAAAGTCTTCAATATTTTTTTTTGTCAATAAGGTCGCCTACCCTGACCAATTTGCTATTAAATTCACCTTGTAATTCAGTTTTCTATAAATTGATAAACTGGAATTTTAGTCCAGGAATCACAATGGAAATGCTCACATTGAGAACCAAATCAGACTGCAGGATCATATCTAAATGGGACTACCAGAAACGGTGCTAAAGAGAGGATTGGATAGAACTGGGCCAGGAGAATGTCATCTGATGGACTCTTGTGTTTTATATTTGCTGTATATTATTTCATATGTGAGAGGCCAGATCAGCTGACACATTCCAACCTCGGTTCTCAATTCACCTTTAACCCTGCACTTAGACGAATTCAAATTGAGGACCTTGTTGTTTTCTTTCTTTTATGACTGCTCATTGAATAACAAATTATGGTTGCATTTTGTATTTCATTTGTTTAAGTTCGAGAAAGACGTGGTCACTGTGTCAGATGGAATAAATCCGCAATATTTACATGCAATTCGTAATATATTGTCAGGATAATCGGCATTGAAGTATTAAACTCCGATATTCGTATCACCATGACGTATTCTAGTTACTGCTCTTCGTTCTAAAGTAGCTTGAAACTTATTTGCTCATTAAACAGTAATTATTACGTCTCGTAAACGAACCGTTGTGCTAATGCATATTTCAGTCGTAGGCAAAAGATGCTGGCTGACCGTTGGTTATTTAACCGCGGTGGGCATGACAATTTTGCACCAGTAATAGCGAAATAAGAGTAAGTGTTTTAATTACAGTGAAATAAATAAATAAATAAATATATTTAAAAGAATTCTAGATCGCTTAGCTCCTTACCTGTTGACACCAATAACAAACAGATCCTTTTGTAGTCAGAACACTTCCAATACGAATTGGGGTTTGCTCAACTGATCACAGAACAGGACTAACATAAAAGCGACATGTTCCTGTCTTGAATGATGTCCTAGGGAATTTATGCGACGCATGCGCACATATATGTTCCTTTGGGTCATGTACACTAGGCCTATTTAATTCTTTCCGAATGTAGCAAGTGATACTGACAAAATCTATTTATTCTCAAATAATGTTGGACATTTGCCTAGTAGTACAGACTCATATGAGTACAGTTCTCAGGACTCTACCAATATCCTAATTTTAATTAAGCCATTGCACCCTACGAGTTTTTACACATGTTACAAATGTAAAGGTTCATTAAATAAAACACAAGTACAGAATCACATGTCTGCTTAGGTTCGTGTTCTTCAAGGATTATTTTTATAACTATTACTGGAATCTGTGGTTGTTGATTAAAACATAGCAACCGTTTGCCTTTTAGTTGTATGGAGATTGACCGTGTATCGGTTATTAGGATAAGTCTTCAGGAAGTGAGGTTAATTTCATGATTTTTTTTTCCTCTATGTCTTTCGAAATTATGCGTCAAAAAAAAGTCGTGTAGTCTTGTAGAAATTTACAGACGTTTCAGAGGTACATACTGCCTCCACCTTCGCCCTGATTATGGAGGAAGCAAACACCTCTGAAACGACTCTAAATTTCTACCAACATGGTACAACATCCCATAAGACAGTCATCTTCATACTCACCGCCGTGAGAACGTAAATTCTCACCGAAAATATTAGTGTTTACATAAGGAACGAAAGCAAATGGATAATATTTGCACGAGGAGCGAAACATGTCGTTTTTTTTGTAAAAATTGTTTTTCCTTTAGCTATTGTAACATACATATAGGCCTAGCGGAAGACCTCGGAGCAACAGTGGGCTAACCCACGAAGTTGTAAAATCCAGAATAATAATAAAAGAAACGCAATCTCACTCACTGTCACTGTCCATTTTTGTTTTGGGGTGGGCTAAGCCACATGTGGTTTGTTATCTGTACATTTGTGTCTTTCAGGGCCTTGCGAAGTGAAATTAGAGAAACAATGTGTAACTTTATCTCCGTTTTAATAACGTTTACTGCTGCTTCCAAATCTTCAGTTATTGTTAGAGGATCTGGGTCCAGAATTTTTCTGTCTGGAGGTTTTTGAACAAAACGTCGTATTTATGCTGGTGTGGAGGATAGTTGTTTGCGATTCCGCTGTTATGAATGAGAGTTGTTATCATATGCCTAATATTAAGCTTTATTTCTACTGGATGTGGCTGGTATTTCTTTTTGTAGTTCTTAATCTATCGTCAGATCTGAACAGAATTCCAGAGGGTCGATGGATGCAGTTAGTGATTTAGTGGGCCCTAGTGTTTGTGTTACGCGAGACCACTTGAAGGACACCAGATGTCTGTATAAATAACCTGTTTAAAATTGCTTACGATTGAATGTACACAATATGACCTGAGGGGCTTTATCTCATGATCTTCGAGTTCTGACCAGCCGAACGATCATCAGCTTGTCAATAAGGGCAGTGCCTATGAAGTGAGGTAGCTATCCAACGGGATGGGTTCTTCTTGGACACTGCCCATTGTCCACTTACACACTTACTTCCGTACTCTGTGGCTCTGAGGTCCTTGAAGGACCCTGGCCACCAAACACGTGAGAGGTTTCTTAAGCTATTTAGACGTTTCGTAGGACTCGCTGGAAGAGTAATCATCCCATCTCAAGACCTGTACCTACTCAGGACCGAGAGGGATTTAACCCTCAGTGCCAGTGACCGATCATGGCCCACGCCCCAGACCGCGGTCTCTGTGACCGGCTCCATTGTCCATTGCCAATATCACGATTTAAAACAAATGTTAGTTACGTTCAGGAGTCTTGTCTTGTCTTCGTTTTTAAGCAAGGGAATTCTACTCCAATGAACCTGTTAGACAAAGCTGGTATTCAAGAAGATACTTCTTTTTTATATACATTTTTACAGTTCACAATGTCAAAGAAACCGCAGGACGCTAGAACAAACGCTTTATTAGCTAATTAGTTAACAGTTACTTATGTAATAAACAAGACGAAGGTAATGGAAATGGAAGTCGAGCCCGTCCCTCTGTTAAATCTCTGAACAAAAAGCTTTGTGAATAATATTATTTAAAAATTCAGTCCGTACCGCAAAGAAAACACAACTCTACGCCATTATAAAGATCAAATGGTTAATGCTGTTTATGGAAATAATCGCTGTTTACACTAGGAATCATACAAAATGGACGTTGACGCAGGTGGGACCACTGAGCTTTAAAGTGTTAAAGGCAAGGTTGTCTGATACTTAACTAAACACCACCCTTGTTTCCGTATGGGAAAGTGGAGGCATAGCTCCACTCATTGCTAACCTCGACACTAGATCCGGCATATAAATATTGATAATTTCGACATGTTGAAGAAACTGCTGATAAACATTTTATGCATCGTTTATTATTGATGATAAAGGTTAAGATGTTCGTTGAATTTCTCTGTAGAGCAAATTTGTTATGTGATTTAGAGCTGGTATTGGTGTACGGTTGTAGCACACGAAAACTAAGACAATTATGCTATCAGAACACAAAAAAATATAGATTAATGGTACTAATGCAACATGCACAGGACACTCTATGAAAACTTACCGTTCACTTGTAGATACACAAGACGCAGCTGCGAACTCATTATAAGCCCCAGTTACTAAACGGTTGGTTTCTTTTATAAACTTTGCTATGCTATTGGATTGGATTTAAACAATCTATCTATATTAATAGCGTGGCGTAGGAAGGGTTTGCAGGCTTTAGTGTCCTTTCGATATGTCCACGGCAAGGTGGTCTGAGACGCTGATTTAAGTACGATTTCGTTCGGAAAATATTGTAGGTGTGCCCAGCCATTTGTAATTTTTCTTACTGTTGAACAGCAGTTTTAATTAACTTCGATAATAAATTATACTAGTCCCCAAGATATTTGTTTCTATAATAATATTAATTTTCACTTCGGAATGAGCATGATTTTATTACTTAGTCGTTTTTTAACAACGCAAATTTGCATCACGTTTGAAGTGTAGACATATTTTAATCGAAAATATAGGAAGGAAGATGACAAGTACAGCAGAGTGAAACGGAAGGGTACTACAAGATGGCAATGCAGCGAATCCCGTAATATACGCTGGTTGTTTCGACAGCTGGCTGCGTTACTGGCAGTGTACTTAAATTTGCAGCTGATAAATAAGTAATACATTATACAGTGCGCTACTGAAACCACTGCTAAATACATCACAAAAATGTATGAATGCATGCATTTGAGTCTGCGGGTTGCCCCTAAACTTTCCCCCCTGGGCTTTACGCACCCAGTCTTTCAAAATAGTTAGCTTCTCCTTGGCTTAGCTTAGACAACACCTGAGCTTCCACTATTATTTGGTAGAGTACCTTCTGGACTGCACCTCAGTGACTTGGCCATCCTTGAGGCTAGGCCACTTTTTGGGCCTACATCCCTCTGGGAAGACCCAAAGCCGTTTGCTCCAGAACGAGGTTGCCACCCACAAACTTGTCTTTGCTTATGTCGTTCCAAAGGAATTTGTCCAAATTCGAAGACAAGTACAACATTTATATTTTTAATGAGCTCCACGTGTCGCGATCTCCCAATGTTTTCCAACACGGACTACCACATTGTACCTTTCATCAAGGGCTTGGTTGGTGATGGTGGTGAGTCTGAAGATGGCCGTGTAGTCTGACAGATGTTTATTTATGTTTCAGAGGTCCTAGCTGCCGCTATCATCAGGGGAATCAAGGAGGCAGCAAGGACCTCTGAAACATCGGTAAACTACCAGACTACACATAACAACCCATAAGACAGCCATCTTCAACAATGCAATGAGTTTATATGTGGTAATAATCACTCTAGGTGTCGATTATATAAAGTACGTGTCGCATAGAAAGCGTACTTGTGTATGACGGAATCATGTTGTTCCTGGTGACTGAATTTCCTGTTAGTGGAAATTAAGAACAGCATAACCATTTTTTTTTTTTTTTTAACATGAAATTTTGTCACGCTCTCTGGTAGCTGAATGCGCTGTTCAACCGGACTACTGGTATTATCTGTGAAAACTACTACGATAAAAGAAATCTGTTCACGAAGGCAGTGCCTTATCCCCTTTAAAATTTCAATTGACGGTTGTCGGTCGTTTAATGTTAATTTGTGGTTTATTGAATGTGCGAAGGAAGTTCCGTCGTTAGGTGTGGTTACGCTAGGTTTAATAAACGACTATAGCATGTTTAGTAAAGATAAAAATCATGGAATGTGCTTTTAAGTATGGTCTCAGGAACAGATCTCGAGGCAAGTTTAGGTTAGACGTTTTTCTGTAAGGTGTAATTTGCATTTTCCCAACGTGGTGTGCCTAAAAGAGGATGGAGAAAGCAAGTAAAGCTCTTAGAAGGTATGATTTGATTATATGCTTTTATTTTAATGCTGAAGTAACTACTCAAGTTCATGTTCATGTTGAGGGGTGGATGGATAATTAATCATGTTTGGCTGTATTTGGTAAGGTAGTTATATATAAACTGAATTTTAAATGAGTACCATTCTACTTAGGGATCTGATAGAATACATGTTCTAGTTACTCATGAAAGGCCTGTAGAGTTATAACCAGCATTTTATGTGAAGCCCAAATTGAGCCTAAAAAAAATTAAAATGGAAGCTTTTTGTACAAGACTTAATATGTGACGAAAATTAAATAAGTTTTATTTGATACACTTATTGACATAATGAAAATTTAACCATATATAGAGAACAATTTCTAGCTCTGTACATCATGGTGTTTGTAGTGTAATTAGCTTTGAAGTGACACATTTGTGTTTGCAATAAATTTATGTCAAGACCAGTGAAGTGTACAGTTTACAAAGGACGGAGGCAGTATGACCTCTGAAACGTTGGTTAACATCTACCAGACTACACAGCGCAACAACCCAGAAGACGGAAATCTTCATACTCACCGCTGTGAGAACCTCAAGTCTTACAAACATTTGGAAAGTGTGTGCACTCCTTATGAACATATATTATTTTTCTTACTTCCTATTACAGGAGCAGTGTAAGGCTGAAGTCAATGAGCAGTGGTCACAGGGAGCTCAACATGGTTATTTCAGAGCTCCGAGATGTGCGCTCTACAGCAAAAGCCTTTGCAATGGCTCAGAACACTGCTGCACAAGACATGTTAAAATGGTCCTTGAATGAAGAAAATCCAGCCATTCAGGATACCTTTGTTCAGCTTTCAGAACTTAATGCCTTGTGGACAGAAGTTCAAAAGGAATTTGCAGGTGAAATGTACAATACATACTGACTGTATGTGTGTAGCTCAAATATTTCTCAAACCATTATTTGAGAGAAAGTGTTTTTATATTATTTGATAAAATATATTATTAACATAACACATACATTTCTTTTTAAATTTCTCAAAAATCATTATTCCTTCTTTTAACATAATTTTAATCCATTTGAAATGCCATTAAAATACATTTTAGTAGATCTTTAACATTTATTGTTTTGTTTTTCAGATCACTTAAAAGAATTCATAACAAACTTTGAAATGATTCTTGAAGGTGAACATCATATAGATCAAGCAAGAACTCATGTTACAGCGTGTGAAATGAAAGCAAGTAAATTTAGGAAAGAACTCAAGAAGGCTTCTAAACGAGGGAGTGCGGAAGAAGCTCAACAAATGGAAATTAAACTAGCTCAAGCTGAGAGGTCATGTGATCAGGCACAGTTTGAAGGTTGGTGAGGTGCACCTGGATTTAACAATGCAGTTAAATAATTCCTAATGTAAACTTTAATTATTGTGCAGAACACATTTATATGGGAAGGCTGTCTTCTGAGTTATAGCACCATATAGTCTAGTAGACGTTTACCAATGTTTCAGAGGTCCATGCTGCATTCATCGTCAGGGCACTGAATGTTGTGGTGAAGGGGTTAGCACTCCTACATGTTTGGGAGGTCCCAGGTTTAAATCTCGGCCCGGGGAGTGGCTATCCTGACTGAGGTTGTTTGTGGTTTTCCTCAATCCCTCAAGGCAAATGCCAGGCCATGTTTACTTTTTTCCACATCCTTTACAATTCATTATTCACTATTGTCCTCTCATTTGGCATTATATACTCTGAAACAGTGTTGTTAAATAAATAAATAAATCATCAGGTTATTGCCCTGATGACAGAAGATTTTGTATACACCACCGTGAGAGCCTCAAATCCTACATTTATATAGGTTTGTTTATGATTAATTTTAAGGTACTATTCCAGCATTGTCCTGGAGAGAACTGAAGAAAATCAAGAACAAAGTTGTTCATCTGTTCTCAAGTTATATGTATACAGACAGTAATTTTAATGGGTGCTTTGCAATGTTCTGAAAGCACCTGTGTACCACAATCAGGGCATCTAATCACAAGGCTTGATATTCAAACCCAGTGTCTCACAAATATGAAGCAACAGTGATTCATTAGGCAAATGGCCTAGGATTATTTTGAAGAAATTTGCTACTGGGAAATCTTGAGTTTTATGTTGGGCTTGTTGATTATTAGAATTTGCCATATGTTAGGAGTTTGTGTGATAAATATGCAGAGAAGTTACTGCTACCTCTTTATAATAAAGCAGCATCTGCTGTAATTGAGGTAAGTTTTATTTCTAATGTCTTTAGGCTATGAGTTTGTTTCTTCCAGTATCAGTCTGAATTTCCATGGGCTGACATGTTGGGAAGAGGAGATATTTAGCAGTTGATGTGATTATAAAAATAAGCATCACTGTATACATGTGACTGCAAAACTTGGACTATCTGGAGAGTAAAAATTTAAAGGATATGAAAAAATTAAGAAACTTACTTTGACCCAAAGGATGCTAATTCACTGTCAAAGGATATTATGAAATGATGAGGAAAATTGTTAATGTTTTTAGAGGATAGTTCATTAATTGAGGTGTCTCAGTAAGACTGTGATGATAAAAATGCATACAATCATTTTTTAGGTAAGTATTTTGGAAAGAGGATGTTTGAATTGTGGCTATGTAGTAGGTGAGAGGATAATATTAAAATATGTGAAAGAAAATATTTGTAGCACTGAAGTAGAATTAGCTGGCATAAGTAAGACCTGGTGATAAGTTTTAAATGTTTCACCAGTAAGTCTGGATTTTATTGGTTTTTGCATAAACAGATATTAATTTTTGCAGGTTATTTGACAGGAGTATCAACTGCCTGTAGTGCCTGACACCAGAATGTGAAGTTCTAAAATATAATTGGGATGTATATTTTACATATGGAATGCACACGGTTCTCTATTCTTAAGTATGTATTTGTGCATTTATGTCTTTAAATATTAATGTTATTTTTCCTGAATTACAGTGTTGGACCGCATACAAGAAAATGAAGCAGTGAAGTTAATTCGAGTAAAAGAGGGTTTGCTAAAGATTTCTGATTCTTATCTGGAACTAGCACATAAATGTCATGTGATTCATGAAGCCCACCGGGATATTGCTTACCAGATACCAGATGTTCACAGTAAAGGTTTACATGAAATGAGATATTCAGGTATTAGTACCAACATTGTGGAAAATGAAAAGCTTTTGTCATTAGAGTAGTTATACAGTCTTGAGTCTTTTTGTATATATGTTAGCGTTTTAATTACTAAGCCACCAGGACGTCAGTGAAATTTGAGGTCCTCTCAGCAGTGAGTATGAAGATGGTTGTCTTCTGGTTTGTTGTGCTGTGTTGTCTGGTAGAAGTTTACTGAATTTTCATTGGTGCTTCGTGTCTCCATCACAGCAATGGCAGCAAGTACCTCTGAAATATCAGTAAACTTCTACTAGACTACACTGTGCAACACCCAGAAGACAGCCATCCTTACACCAGGATATCAGTTGGTAAGAAGATTTCTGAGGTCTTGCTGAAGATTCAGATTATCGTGTCTGTGGTGGTCTTCTGGGTTGACATACAGTTTCGTAGCAGAGTATGTAACAAAACATTTTAAATTCTGGACAGTTATCTTCTCTGGGTGTACAGTGCCTGTTAATTGAAAGGAAATATGAAATTTTAACCAACATTCTTAATTATCTGTGGAAGTAAATTTTTAACATGTCTGACTTTATTTAATTAATGTGCTGTAGTTTACTTTTTTTCTTTCTTTGGTGTAAATTTTATTTTATGTGTTTTTATGTAGACAGACTGAGTAGATGTTAAGCTTTAAGCTGTCATGTGTAAGGTGTTATGCATAAAAATAACTGATAATATCATAAATAATTTCAGTGACCAGTTTCTCCTTATGAATACTGAAATTATCTTGAAAAATTGTGTGAGTTATTTTATTGTAGTATTTATTTTTGTTTCAAACAGGTTCAGGACTGGCTCAACAAGCTGTCCTGAGAGCAAAGGAACAAGTACGTGTCTACAGTCGGCAGGCTCCGAGTATGGTCCCATGTGCACCAATTCATGAAGGTCCTCCCCCTCCATACTCACCTACAAATCACACAAACAGTACTCCTTATAACCCACATTACACACCCCAGTCTTTCTCACCTGAAGCCCAAGGTTTAGATTTTGCAAGTGAGAATTTAAACCCTTTCCATATAAACCCCCAGACCTTTGGGTCACATCGATCCCTGGAAACTAGTGAGGATGGTTCCATTAGAGAGACCTCTCCAAACACAAATCCATTTAATGAAGAAGATGCTAGAAACCGGTATGTATTTACATATGTGAATAAAGAGAAAAGCAAGATATTTTTAATTGTACTATAATCTGTGCAGGCAAAGTGTCCATAATATTAATAGTTTGCTAATAAAAATTTCAAATTTACAAGGTTTGTTTTAATCCACCTGAAGTATAAATAATATGTTTTTTTTATAATATTTATATTTATAATATTTTTATGCCCCACTTAATGGTACCTGCACCTTGTGGTGGTGGGACTCGAGTACCTCGGTGATCCCAAGAGCTATTCTGGCGGTAGCATAGCTACTGGTAGGGCCTCCCTAGCCAGATTGGTCGAGGGGGAGAGGTCAGACTAAGACAGGTACCCTGGTCCTCCAGGTTGGGGGTTGGTCGCAGGGGTAACAACCTTGCACCGTAAAAAGGAAGATGTCTCGACGGACCTAACAGAGGACCAAATGGAAAAGGAGAATTAAGGAGGCCATGGACTGAATACGGACCGGAGAGCCATAGAAGAAGAAGAATATTTTTATGTCTCAGAATTGTGATGTGACAGTTATGCAATTAATATTTAAATCAGTTTGTTTACTGTAAATTTGAAAAATTGTCCCCTTTTTAATAGACTCATTACTATTTTCATATATTGAGGATAGTGTACCTGAAATATTGTTGACACAGACATGCAGTTTTTAAGATGGACCAGTTTATGTTTGTTCCATTGCTCGATTAAGTTTGTAACAACTGAAAAATGTGCTCACAATATAAACATGTAAATACTTTGAAGTTTGATGCTCATGGAGAAACAGTGAATTTGCATAAAGCTTTAGGTTTAAGCACACAAAGTTTGCACAATGAGTTGTTCTTGAGAAAATTTTTGATGTAAGGAACTTTGGAATTCCAGTAAATACTCACAGTAATTAAACTATTTCAGACAACACTTCGGTTTTCCACTAAAAAAACTAATTTTATTTGCCTAGTGTGAAACTCCACCATGAATTTTTAATAGTGTGAAATCAGCATTTCATTATATAAATGAATTCTTCTGGTTTATGGAAATTTTAATCTTCTTGGTTTTGCTTTGTTTGTTTTATGTTATGACACAAATAATTTTTATGTTACGTTCTTTCTTTGCAGGTTTCCAGATTCATGTACACAGAACTTATCTTCTAATGATGATGTTGGAAGGCATCCAGATTATGAAGAGGATTTGGCTGGTGCAGTTGGTAGGGTGAAGACATGATAAAAGTCTATATGAACAAGATGAGAATTTACAAATCTATACTTGATTTGTAAGTATTCAAATGGTAACAGCCTAAAATTGTCCCTTTATAAACCAGCCCTTTTCCTTAGCATAGCACTTTTTACATGCTTTGCTAGGTTGACATTTGCCAAAAACTGCAGACAGGTAACTTGATGAAATTCTTGCTTCTGTTAGGATGTGTCGGATTAGATTCAAGAAACATGTGATTGAACTGAACATCAAGGCATTTTACCACTCATTAAACATGAATGAAATAATTTATTTTGTTGCTGCATCCTTATATTGTGATGCCATTCACAAGTGAAATTTTAATTATAGACGCAAAAATAGAATTTGCTGTGGCAGAAAAATGGACCACATATGAATAGTACATTTAGTCCTTATAAGTCAGTGTAGTTTAATATTGTGACGTAGGTTGGTAATTACGCCCTTTATTGCCAACCCTTGCTTTTTGGAGTCTGCTACCTTGAATATGACCTGACACACTTTTCACACGCCCAACACTTTGCTCGGTCTAGCTGCCGCGGTGCCCTCCAGCTTACTCTCTGCTTGCTAGCTCACACTTGGCCGCGCCCAGGAATGCGACTTTGTTTATAATCCCCCTCCCAAAATGTTGAAAGATCCAGACTAGCTACCCTGGAAGTTAAGCGGCCCCTCCCCTCCCCTCCAGCACGAGGCCCCAGCACCCACGGTGACACGTCACAATATTTTAAACGAGCCCATGGTTAGTGCTCATACATTATAAATTAATTTAAGGTTACTAAATGTTTAAATACTTTATATAGGCCTATGATGCTGTATATAGTAAATGTGTGATTAGTTGCCCAATTGTTTTTTGTTTTATGCTATCTGAAGAATATTAGTAAAGAGGTTAATGATGTTACAGTTATATGGAATGTATTTACCATGCATAAATGCACATTTTGCATAATGAGTGAAACTTTAGTTGGTTGCTGATTATTATAACTAATGGAGGTGATAACATGTTCAAAATAATCAAAAAGAAGAACAGTTTAAAAATTTTGTCTTGTAACTGACTCTGCGGAGCAGAGGCCTTTATGAAAGCTGATGGTTGCTGTCTTGTTAACACATTCCCTGTGTTGTATGGATCTCAAAGATTAATACCTTTATAAAGAGAGCCTGCATGTGTTCTAATGCAACTGACTTTTATATTAACAAATAGTTCATGTCAGTTTGTGAGTTTGGACTTCTCCTTATGACACTTTCAATTTTTCTTTTCTGTAATGCCATTATACTTTAACCCCACTGATCTGTCTAGCCATACAAAGTGTCGACATGCTATTGTGCCACATGATCACTACTTTCTTCATTTGCTCTATTTGCGTCATCCCTTTGTTCCATGACTACACCGATAATCTCTGCATCAGTCTTGTACTGGAAGCCAGGTTCAGACATAAGATTTCAGGTTCTCACGGTTGTATGAAGATTGCTAATGTTTCAGAGCTTCTACCACACTACACAGTGCAACAACCCAGATTCACACACTTTACTTTGCAACCACTTTTCAAGGTTTTCTTCATCATTTTTTATCCTTTTCAAAACATTCACCATGTCAGTGAATGGCAGTAACATGCCAGCAGCAAGATTATTGTTCAGCTATGTTTAAGGCTTGTGAAGAGACATTTTTATTATAAAAATATGTTTAATGAAGAACTTTTTTTTTGTGTATTTAGGGTGATAGTGCATTTGATTGTACTTTGATGATGGTTTATACATAATTTTTATTTTAATTTTATGCAGACTTTATTAGATGTAATTGATTTTTACAAATATTTACTTCAGAATTTGTGCCATATAATTTTATACAGAGGACTGGACATTTTTATTAAAACTGTAACATGAAATTTATTCTCTTGTAAATCCAAATAATGACTTGAGTGAAACTGGTATATAACATATCACAGCACTTGTAGTGCTGTATTTCCATTTTAAAGCAATTGTATTTGTACATAGTTCATGAATTTTTCTTTTTATGTTTGATAATTATGGGGCTGCTGGCCAGATTTTGACATTGTTGTTAAACTGTTTACCAGTTTGCTACCATGATGCTTGGCCAATTGGACCATGTGTAAGACTTGATGCACAGCCAATAAAATATAATCATATAATTGTTAGATCATTCTTCTTCACATTGGAGGTTGAGCGATTATTTTTACACTTGCAAATATCATTACAATCATGCAATGTGCCACTTATGTGACATCAATACTTTGACCTATGCAAAAACAACAAATCATACACTCTTAATTTGTTTTTTATTGTCATTCATTATGACAAATATATTTTGTCAGTCCACAAAAGTTTGTTATACTGAGATACTATGGCATAAAGGAGGAATTTGCTAGTGGCATTGTCTCCACTTAAGACATAATGATTATACCACCATGACTTGACATTTTGAGGGAATTTGAGGTTAGATTATGGTAGCAGATATTTTGTATTGTACACCTTACCAATTAAAACACACAGTACTTAGGAGATGGATGAGTATTAATATTTGTGTTGTGATGCAGAAAACAAATATTTCTTTACCAGTGTGTATCGCATGATAAATACAAACAGTTAAGAATTGTATATGCACTTTCATTTCATGATAACTAAGTAGGATTCGAGGTTCTCACTGTGGTGGTAAGTAGAGTTTGCACCTTTGCATAGATAAAGCTGCAGATTGTTCACAGTTCACCAGTTGCGTAACCTTGACATAGGTGATACATTCTGATACTCTCAGTTTACAAGGAACTGTTTGGAAAAGAAAAATAATACTTGTTTTAGACTATGAACAAAGTTAAATATGCCATTAGATAATTTTTTGTGCAAAACTCGCTTGTCTTCATGCTTCAGCCCTATATTGTCTCTAGTTACTTGTCCCTGTCAGAGTCTATAAGACGTGTGCAAGCACACAGGTATAATTGCATGTATTTTTGTATCGAAATAATTAAATATATCAAATCCAACTTCTTCCTGTATTATTTAGATGTTTTTGGCAGTGGTGTATTAGTATTATATTTTGTTTTGACATTCATTTCCAGTTACTTAAAATTATACCAGTATAAACTTTGAGCATCCTAGAATTTACCACATTTTTGTCACCTGCTTTGTGGGGTCTATTAGATACATCTAATCTTTACAACTCTCCAGAATGAAGTAAATTTTTACATTTACATTTTACATGGCAGGCAATGGATAATGTCAAAACAAAATATCATTATAGTATTGCTGCCATGCATATATTTCCATATTTAAGGGATTTTTGCTTATCACATTTTTAAAAAGGTGTATTACAGTTTTAGTTTTTACAGGTTTGTTGTATGTATTTATAACTTTTTGTAAATGCTGACATGCATGTAAATATATGATTTTGAATTAATTTTTTTATCACTAGTATGTAAATTTGTGCTAGTTGTGATCACAATTAATTTTTTATTATACTTTGTATTCCTACATTGTCTAAATGGAAAATGTAAATTCTTGTGTAACACTTTATCTCCATGTAACTTACATAATTTTAATGCTCAAAGTATTTAAACAGCATATTCTGGATATTCATTACCTTATAGATGTATTTTTGTATTTTTTGTATGTACAACTTAACTTGGCCATCCACTTCATGTCATAGTCTATAGGACATTCAGAATTTGTGATCAAGCAAATTTTGTAAGTAGTGCTTCATGGCATGATGACATTTGAAGTAATTACATAATATTTAAAAATGGAACCATTAACCATGTTACTTCATTGTCAGTATTTTACATTAAAGATATGTTTTATGACAAAACTATTTCCATATAATTACATATATACATTAATCACCAATTATTGAAGAATAAATTGTGTTGTTACACATAGTAATTGTAGATTTGTGCCTTTTGATATGTTCCTGCAGTACTTTATTCCATTTAATGTTTTGGTCTGGTGGGTATGAATCCATATTTGAGAGATACCTGGCTCAAAACATGGCTGTCATGATTGAGGTATCTTATTATATTCCTTGGGAAAACCTCAGCCTTTAAATATGTGCATCACAGCTTGCGTGTGGCCCAGCTTACTGTACATTGCACTAGAATACCACTAAACTTTCAACCCTGGAAGTAGTCTGGCCAGCAGTCCTATAATATTTGTCTTTGAATCACTTATTCCTGTAAGATAAAGGTTATAGTAGGCTGTAATAATTTTATTGTCCCTTAGCAGCAACAATAAACAACAATGTTGAAATAATGTGATTTAAAAAGAATGTTCAGTAAGTCCCACATTATAGCATCATATTTTGCTAATAACTATATTGATGTGTAAACCTAAATGAATAAATAAGACTGACCATAAGTAAACGTTAAGTGTTGTGGACATGACTTTTGTTTCTTTGTGACCAACAGTGATTGATAGTTGTCTAGTAGCACTTTGTGGCATATATGAGGAAGTAGAGATGAATCAATATCTTGCTCCTGTGTGATCTCTTACTGTTTCCTTCGGTTGAAGTTGCATTGTATTTTTAAAATGAAAGGAAAAACATAAGCTGTTACCTAATTCATACATAAATTTTTAATTCTGTAAAATGTAATATTTGTATTTGTTTTGCTGAATAAAGTATTTTTGTGGGTTAATAAAAAGTTTGTTACTTTTTTGTGTGTTATATTTCTAACAAAAGAAATTAATGGCATTTCTGAAATGTTAAGAATTACACAATAATTACTGTGTTCATTTACTTATTTTATGTAGATTGTTCCATGAAAGGATGCAGTATCAAGGTTACAGTTTTTGAAGAAATATATTTTAATGCACACATATATAAGTTGTGGTCACTGTCTGCCTGAAAATGTTACTGGCCACTGTAAAAGTCTTGCAATATACATACACTTTATAACTCAGAAGACCAACATTGACAAGGAATGGTTGAGGGATGTGTAACCATCTATACCGTAATAAATATAAAGTTATGTATTGTAACTCATGGAGCCATTACATGATCTGGTTATTTATTGACTATCTTCTGGTAGCATAGAAATAAAATTGAAATGAATAGGAAAACAAATTAAGGACTTCAACTGAGAGGACCCATTTAAGTGGAGTTTACAAGTACAACATCGTCTGTCTGTAAAATAAAAACAGCTGTTTCAATTTGCTGAATTACAGCTATTGGGCATAGGAGTAAGTTGGTGTGGGTTCACAAACTTGCAACTGTAAGTTGCACAGAATATGGTGGCATTTTTTCACTATACAGTGTTACTTTAGATATTACGTAGTCACAGATGTAGGTTGTGCAAAAGTTATTCATTATATAATATTATTCATGTATTTGCAGCAAAGAAGTTGCCAAGTTGTGAAGAGGAATGATTCATTGTGAATTTGTTCATATTTGTTTGGTACATCTGCATATGATGAGCCGAATATGTGAGCATTGTATCATCTGAATGTTTTTGGTGTGAAATTAGTTTATGGGGGTGAAAGGGGGGAGACATTAAAAACTATGTAGCTCTTTGTTAGAGCAGTCTGCAATTAAAGCAGTAGCTACAGTAGTATTCATTATTATTCTTATACTAAGTCTGTAGGAATTTTGATTAAAAGTACAATTGCACTAATTTCCATAGTAGTGTCAGCCATTTTTTTCAAATGGATTCATTTATTATCAGAAATATTAAAAATGACATGTTAGGTCACTAATCAGGAGGGCAGGGAGTAGAACTGGAAAGGTATCCATGCTAGAGTTGGTGAAAAACGATGAACATTTTAACACGTTCTAAACATCGTATTAAATTCCAAACGCTGACAGCCCCCCCCCCTCCGGCCCCCCCATCACCAAACAGATGCAGTTCTTAATACAACCTTAGTATCACAGAAATAAAATTTGTGTCAGGACATAGATAACCAACAACACTTGAATGATGATCTTAGTGCTGCATAACGGGTTGATTGGAAAGGACTGTTCACAGATCTCGCATAATGTGATATTCAGGCTAGCCAACCCGTGAATTTGAGGTCGTATAATAAGCTGTAGTCTAATTATATGGATTTTCAATGTTTTTCGTATTGCCTTTACTGACAGAGTGATCTGTGTGATTGTATATCAGCTGTTAATTTTCATGTGTTTAATATTGTAATTATGACACAGGAGAAAAAGTTTTCGTTTGTGTTTTCGAAAGTATCAAAGCCTTCAGGTCCTCTTAGGCACGAGAAGTCTAAAGAAAAGGAAGATGTACAGTACATCGATTGCCTCGACAGCAAAACTATCGTATTCAAGAAGTATGTTTTCTTACGTAGGTTATGAGGCTACTGTAGGAATGTGAATACCGATAAAAATAGTACCCGTTACTATAGTAATTAGAAATTATTTAGTGTTATAGCGAGAGCAGATTCCTTTTATGTCTTTCTGCTTCCCCATCAGCCCTAACCTAATTGTTGTATGTTGCAAGGAACCCTTTACAATTTAGCTAGCACTTCGCAGTTGTAGATTTTTTTTTTTTAAATGTATCAGTAATATCTTTCAGTAACAAGATTATCAGAATGAGTCTTGGAACATAAAAGTGATATGTTCCCTTTACCATAACTCAGTCCTGGATCTTATGACAATAACCATGTGGTTCAGTTTCAGTATTCTTCATATTGACTACTGTAATATATCTTTAATTGTCAGAGAAGTTTAGTTTAGCAGTGTTGTTATGTGTTTTTTTTAATTTCTAGGAGTGAAGATGAGGGAGAGAAAGTCACTGATTTAATTATCCCACTCAATAAATCTGTTTGTGATAAACCTCAAACTAAAGAGAAGGAAGATATACAGAGAAAGGAAAATAGTACTGTTATAGGGGACAGCTTAAATAAGAACTCTTTAGAGGAAACTGCTGTTAGAGAAATTCTGGAAGGTTAGTGTGTATGAAAACATGTATACTCTTTCAAATTTTCAACGAAACAGTCATATAAAGTAAGTTATATAGATGTAAGAACTAAATGATAAGTTTTGACTTATAAAAATTTATAATCTAATTTTTATGTATGTCTTCCTCCTCTTTCTTTTTTTCTTTCTTCCCTGAAAAGCCAAATCTTTGTTATGACTGAGATATAAACAGTGTGAGCCTTCATTCAGATCTCACATTAAGCTGTTGATAACCTCTCTTTTAATAATATTTTATCTTCACAATCAGGGAGTAAAAATTGATATCCCACTGTATGGGCCTGCCTGGCACAGGCAGGCAGAGGTCTGTATGGTTGAAAACCTGAAGACACAAACCAAAATAATGTTGAAATTGCAATGTGGGTGAAATGCCAGCCATTATTTTGTTCCTGTAAGCATTTCTCTCTTTTTCAACTACTTCATTTACAACATTTTAAAATTGCCTAATTTTGCCAATTTAATTTATATTAATGTAACTATTTTTGTGACTTAATTATAGATGTTAAGACATTCACTGAAGCTGTTGAAAATTCTAATACTTTAACTCTACAAATACAGAAATCAAGACATGGAATTGGAGAATCAAAAGAGGTATGTTGGAGTGTTGAAATTACTGTGAGGGAATATTATTTTTCTGACAAGCACCACTTATACATAGTTCTGAAATGATGTGTGGTGACATTTTTAAAAATTCTGCATCTTTGTTTTTAAGATAATTTTGTTGGAGAATGTACCCACAACAAGATGGTAGGTGTGCAGAAATTCTTTTACTTTCAGTTCAAGACCAGTTATTAATGGACCAGTGGGCTAATACTTATTGTGCATAATTTGTTTTCATTTCAGTCTACTCTTGATGACTATGAAAGTATTCCTGTAGTGGATTATGGCATGGCAATGCTGAAGGGCATGGGTTGGAATCCAGGAAAAGGTATCGGTAAAAAGGGGAGGTACATAAACACTTTGGTTAAATTCTTTTCATTTATGGTCTTTTTGACATGAAGGCTATGCAAATTTTCAAACCTAGAAATAATATTCAGTTTTCTTACACTGTATGACATATGGGTATTTGGGGGATATCGGGACACATCACTTTAAAAATAGGTTAGGTTAGGTTATCTTATCTTATCTTAGGTTACGTTAGGTTAATGTGTGTGGATAAATGACGTATACTTGAAATTTATTATATTTTATTTTGATATGCATGAGATGTTAATTGTTGTTACAACCTGTCTCCGGAGGCCATTGAAATGGCTTATAGATTTTAAAATTGTTTTAAAAATATCGCCGTTATCATTTGTACGCCGCCACATGAACTCAGCTAAATATGAATCCAGATGATGTCGGGCCGTGCCTCTCTGTTTTGTGTCCTGATAACCCACAAATACCGACATACGTGCTCAGTGCTACTATGTTTGAGTATTGTGTGCAGAAATACGCATTTAGAAAGTGTGGAAACAGACGTGGCAAGCTTTTGTCTGAAATGATCCTTCATTGGCAGGATTGTGACAGCAAATATGCCCCAACCACGTCCCAGAGGAATGGGTTTGGGAGCTGATAAAGTAGATTCTTCATGTGCACCTTCTACTTTGGCCCAAGATGAAGGAGAAGAATTAAAAGTAATTAAAGGGGCTTCTGTACAAGTAATATCTGGATCTCATAAAGGACAGTATGGTCAGGTAAGGATCCGGTCAACTATATTTCTTGTTGCCAATAGTTTAACAATAAAGCAGCATTAAGAGCATGCAGTTAGAAGCAGAAACATTTATTATTAAAGTATAAATATACAGTGTTTATATGAATCATTTAGTAATGACCTAATTGTGTACAGAATTATATTGGCTAGTTAATCACTGCAAGCCTAAAGGTTTGCTTAGGGCAGCAGATAACTTTGTGCTGACCCTGATTAGACACCAGTATATATCAGATCTGCTTCCTATCATGCTATTGTAACAGTATGTAAAATACTGTAAATTCTTGACACCGCTCTAATAATCTAATGCCGATGCTGCCGAGCATCAAAACAAGTATGAATTGCATTTGTTATAATCCTAAACATTTGTTTGGTAGATGGATTGAATGTAAACATTATGTCACATTGAAAGTAATTTTAAAATTACTAGGTAAGTAGTTCATAAGTTTTCAGATTCTGTTAATAACATTGTTTTGTATAACTACAAGACTAACTGTTCACTTCTAGATTGAAGGCTTTAATGAGGACTCTGGAAGGGTCATAGTGCGTTTGTCATTGCATTCTTCATCTGTCACTGTTAATGAAAATGCTTTCAAGTTGGTAACAAAAGAAGAGTACACTAAAAATTCACGTGTTCTGAGTAAGTATTATATTCTTAAAAAAGCATGTTTATATTTCATGCAAAAGAAAGTTGTACTTGTTTAAATTGTTCTGTTTTAACATTAATGGCCATTAATATTTCACAGATTGCTATGATTGTTTATTGAAATACATGAGAAAATCATTTGAAGAAATGGATCCATGTGTTAATAAAGACATTTGGGTCATCTCGTTCATGGTATCATATAGCTTGTGGTTGGTAACAAGTGAGAGTGGCATTAAGCAGAAGGACACTCTGAGCCATAAAGCATGAAACATGAGACAGTCAGAAACTTGAAACTCTCAGCCTAATTTATGCCATAACCCCAGATTTTACTGTATTATTTTACAATAAAATAATTATTTTACATTACTTTATTTTAAGCCAGAGAAGTTTGAGGCTGGTTATAGTATGTGAAAGGATCACTGCCCCATTATATTATACAGTGTACTGAAGCTTCAAGAAGTCAACTGTACAACAGATATTAGTAGGAGATAAAACATCATTGCTTTTGATTTCTGAGGCCAAAATACATCATCAGACATCTCTGCATGAAATGTACTAGAAAGCATTCTACAGAGACACTCTGAATGAAACCTTGCTTTTATTCTGCCACATTTTCTTATGATAGCCATACCTTTCATTTATTTTACTCTGATATAAATTATCTCCTTTCAACAGTTTTTAAGAATATGTATGATTCTGTGTTACAGATGTATCAAAGTATCAAGAATACACACAAAAAACTGATGAAAATCTTGAAGTGGTAAGACAAAACATGCATCATGCAGAAAAGAGGCATCATAAAAGTCAAAGTCCAAAAAATCATCCAAGACAAAGATTAAAATAATGCTATCATTTACATAATTAAAAGGGGAAAATAAATGTAGGTACTGGAATTTTCTTCTTTTATGAAGTTCTTCAGAAGCCTTGTAAAAGTTAATAAGCATATGAACTTCTTTGAGCAAATTGAAATTGTTCCGAATCTCAAGAATTCAAATGCCAATTTGGTAATTAAAGGTATCACAGTATTTAGGCAGATTCTCAAACTATTTAAAGATCAACAGGATTTAATCAACTTGGTAACCCTTGCCTCTCCTAAGAGGTAGTAAGTGCAGTCACTGACTCAGAACCAGAGCTTATAAGAAATATCACCAGTGAACAAGTGGACATCCCTCACCCCACTCAAGGAAGTATGAGTTAACATAACAGCAAGAGAAATATATGATTCATTAAGGATGTATGATTGCAATGTTAAAATAAAATAATCAATTATAAGTCAAGTTTATGAATGTGTATGTCCAATGTATTAACAGGAAAGAATAAAAGCATTTTGTCTGAAAACAATTATGACTATACCCTTACCCACTTCCCGTATGAACAATATTTACAGAATCTAAGGAATGTGGCATTGAAGAGGTAATTATAGTTTTTAATATTGGTGGCAACGGGAATGGTGTCATTGATTTGTTGAGTATCTCTGGTTTAATGGTAAACCGGAAATAACATCGTACCTGTGTATTTCCGCCAAGCAAAATTGTTTGTGTTGTTTTTAAAGTGTTCATTGTCGAGCACATGGGAAAGAATATGAAAAAATCCAAGAAAGATCGCAAGTCTAGTGAAGTAGCAACTGAAGGCGATGAATCTGTAGCTGGCCCTTCAGTTGAAAATACATTGGAACAAGTTGTATACACTAGTCCAATAGCACAGCCTATGGCGTCTTCGAAAGTGACGAAGAAAATCCGTAAATTAATTAAAGCAAGTAGGTATTTTTAGTTTATTAATATTTAAACTTGTAGCTTCTATTACACAGAATTTCATGGTAGCTAGTATCAGTGGCTGGCCCTGTCAGTCGAAGTTAGATTTCAGTTCTTTACAGTCAATCAACTTTAAAATACTACATGTTGCAGTATTCCAAAAATTTGTCATTTTCAGCCCAATTTAAACAAATGTGTTTGTTAAACTTAATTGTGTTCCAAAACAAAAATCCAGTTATGTAAAAGAAGACTGATGATACTAATATTATTATTTCACAAAAAGAAGTTGAATGTTTTTAAAACTCCATAAATGATGTCTTCACTAGACTGAACAAATGGATTAAAACCAATAAACTCACATTAAATTTTGACAAAACTGGCTAGAAACTAAGGTGGTGGCTTTAATATTTTTATTAAAAAAATAAAAGAGTGCCCATCCCACCACATTTTCTGATGCATCTTGAATGTTAGTATATACTTAAAAGTGATTTAATTTCACTTTATTTTTCTTTTGTTCTTCTGGTAATGTCTTAATATGCTGGATGTGGTTGTGGTCACTAGGTTGTAACACTTCTAACACATGCTTTTACTTATCAATCCCCACTGAATAAGTTTGTGTGAAATGTAACATTTTTAATACTCATGGTAATAAAGTATGCAGTTTAGTGTCAACAAAATAATGACATTTAGTCATATTGTATGTAATTATTGCAGGTTTGGCATTAAATGAAAAGATGTATCTTCGGAATGGGTTGAAAGATGTTCAGTCGAGCATTCGCAAAAAGGAAAGAGGGTAAGCCCAAAAGTATTTCTTCCATTTTTTAATATTTATTACATATATATATGTTTCCAATTTTGTAAACACAAACTTGGACACATTTGCTATTCTCTATTTGTCCTCATAATTAGTCTTTCGTTGCACATGTCTTGTGATGAATAGGAGCATTATATCTTAATTGCATCATGCTTGTGTTCCTCAATACAGTACTTTTATTTTCCGTCGTTACACAAGCTTATTGTTAAAATCATATAAAATTTCACATAAAATTGTTACATTTTAAATTGACGACATGTTTCGATATACAATTCTATCATCGTCAGGTCTATCAAAATTAAAATTAAAATCTGGTGTATCTGTTGCTCTGCTTATATTGCTTATGTTTTTATCCGTTTTTTATTACATCTCCAGGCTTCTTTCATTTAATTTTGGAGACGCGTCTGGGTGCCTATATCTGCAAAATCAATTTTAATTTTCATATCGTGATTCTGGCTACCGACATAGGAAATGGAATAATATTACTCTAATTTTATATTATTTTAAGGAATTACTCAAATATATCGTAATACAAGCAAAAGAAATACAATCACAAAATATAAAGTATTATAACATACCGGGTTGTGTGTGAGGTGCGTGTCCGTTGTTATTGAATGGCAGACAGCAACTGAGTTGTAGGTAGGTAGGATTTGATAGCTACACACGATACCTACAACTCAGTTGCTGTCTGCCATTCAATAACAACGGACACGCACCTCACACACAACCCGGTATGTTATAATACTTTATATTTTGTGATTGTATTTCTTTTGCTTGTATTACGATATATTTGAGTAATTCCTTAAAATAATATAAAATTAGAGTAATATTATTCCATTTCCTATGTCGGTAGCCAGAATCACGATATGAAAATTAAAATTGATTTTGCAGATATAGGCACCCAGACGCGTCTCCAAAATTAAATGAAAGAAGCCTGGAGATGTAATAAAAACGGATAAAAACAAAAGCAATATAAGCAGAGCAACAGATACACCAGATTTTAATTTTAATTTTGATAGACCTGACGATGATAGAATTGTATATCGAAACATGTCGTCAATTTTAAAATGTAACAATGTTATGTGAAATTTTATATGATTTTAACAATAAGCTTGTGTAACGACGGAAAATAAAAGTACTGTATTGAGGAACACAAGCATGATGCAATTAAGATATAAGCTA